ACTATGCATTCATTTTTAAGTTTAAGAGAAAAAGCTATTGAACAAGATTTTAGTTATTAAAAGTATATTGCCTTTCATGCTATCCATGAGTTACTATGGTTTAGGCATGGCTTTTGCTGTCATTAGTCTTGGCTTCCTACTTCATGGTATTTTTATGATGTTGGTTGTATCCCAGGACACAGTCAATGTACAAATTACATGCCAACTATTTGTTTTGAGGATACCATAGGAAATGGCATTGTCTTATTTTATTACATGTTAGTGATAAATCCTTTCCCATCCCATTGACTAACACACTTATATATAACATTCAATTAGATTCAATAATCATTTATTAAGTGCCTACTATGTGTCAGATGGTGGGACACAATGACAAAAAAATAAGACAATTCCTACCTTCAAGTAGTTTACGCTCAGTTGTAGCTACTGCAGTCTCCTTCCCTTATTATTCAACTTTTGTTTCCCATAACCTTGTTCTTGCTGACCCATCTAACATCCCCTTCCTTTCTTGGTCTTTCTCTTCTTCCTTCTTACTAGTCTTTCTTTTTTTTCTCCTTCCTTTTATTCCACTTTACTTTCCTGAAAAGAGTAGGAGAAGAAAAAGAAAAACATGTATTATAGTATTAAATTCTGATTTGGTGACCCACTGTTCTCAGACCTGCTTGGCAATAGTGCTGGGGGAGGCATAACCCAGTCTGCAGCTTTTATATTATCTATTATTTATCATGTAGCAGGTTACCCCCATCTGCCTGCACCTGTTAAACATCATATACAGGCAATGGGGGAGGAACTGAGATGCAATGGCCCCATTCCCTTTTGCTGACCTGGAAGTATATGAATTGTCTTTATCTCATGATGAAAGTTAGCAGTAAAAGCTGGCTCTACCTAGAATCCCTTGCTGATATCTGCTGATTATCAATGTGTTGTTACCTTGATATACTCTTAATGAACTCCTTTTAATTCTCTTTTTCCTGAGTTTTGCCTCATTAATCAAGAAGAAAGCCTGAATGAAGTATTTTCCTCTTAACAATAGCATTAAGCAAGCAGCTTACACACATATGCACAAGCACACGCACATACGCACATGCACACACACACACACACACACACACACACACACACACTCACACACATGCACATTAAACCTTGTGTTCATTTTGTCAGCTTTTAAGTTATAAGCCTGTTCAAGACAGACCACAGTAGTTGCACCATAAGATCACTGAACTGGAAGGAGCCTTAGATGTCATCTAGTTCAATATCTTCACATTACAGTTGAGGAAACTGAGGCCCCAGAGAGAAAAAAAGACTTGGCTGAGGTATGGCAGAACAAGAATTATCCCTCAGGATTCTTGACTCGTAATCAAGAAATTTTTCTTCTGTGCCAGGTAGTGCAGCTATATTACATGCTGGGAACTTAGCTAGTGTTCAGTGAAGAGAAAATATCTGTGGACCCTAAGATTAAAAATGTAGATTTGTCTTTTTATTACACTTGCCTTAAGGCTGAATTGTATATTGTGGTTTAAATATTTTTAAATTGATGTTTTGATAGGCTATTGTGTTAGTGGTAATTAGAAAAAAAAAGTAGAAGATGATGCTATACATTTGAATTGTTTAATATTCTGAATTTGGTCAGAACTAGATGGCTTATAAAATTAATAATGGGAAAAAGATTCTTCTCCTCTAGATGAGTTATAACAATCAATTTTCTTATCTAGAATAAGAGGATAATAATACATGCATTGCCTGACTTGCTGGGTTGTTTTGAGAAAAGCTTTTTGTGAACCTTTAGATGTTATTTAATATGAATTATCATTATTAAAAAAGATGAAGAATGTAGAGCATAGAATATTCTGGCCAACGGCTGATCGATAGCTTGTATGAAATCAGCTGAAGATTTGTGTCCATTTTCTTCTAAAGACAATGATGCCTCAGAAGCAAGTCAATGTCAGCTCTGAGTTGTTTTAGCTGAAAGAGTAAAGATGGAATGGTTGGAAAAAACAACCTCTCCATCTCTCCTGCCTTAGCTGCAAAACACCAGGGATGGGAAGAAGGGAAAAACATGCTGGGAACAGAAATTAGTTTGATTACGTGAATAAATACATATATTGATACAAGCCATAATTATTTTCATGTTTCTCTATCAATCAGTTCTATGTGGAAATAATCTCTCTGGGAGAACTGATCTTACATTTGGTGGCCATCTCTTCCAGGATGGCCCATTAACATTTCAAACTCAGTGAGCTCACAACAGAACTCATCATCTTCCCATTTAAACTCATTCTTTTTCCAGACTTCCCCGTTTCGGTTGAGAACCTTTTTCATCCTCCTGGTCACCCAAATTCATAGCCTTAGAGTCATCTTTGATTCTCTCATTCATCTCCATATCAAACTAGTTGCTGTCACAATTAGAATTTAACAAAAGGGTAAACTGAGGGAAATCTTTGCGCAAGATAATATTTATTACAAGGGACAATAAATGGGTCAGTGGTTTGCCTCCATTAACACCAAAGACTCCAAACAAAAGCTCAGTTCCCCTTATATAGGTTTTGGGGAGCACAGAACAAAGAACAAAACAGTATAGATGACGTGGGGTTTGGAGGCAATGTGACTGTTACAGAGCTGAGGCCCAGGGAACAAGATGACTGGTTGGAAGTTTGGTAGTGAGGGCTAGCAATGACCCCCTTTCTTTCATGAGACTAAGAAGTGCTCCTTGTTTGAGTTCAGGTAGAAGATAGCAGCCCAGACTTTTGGACAGCAAACCAAACATCCCTGAAGGACAGCTTAGTGGAGAAGATATCAGGCCTGACTCCCTTTCTTTCACACACATTTCCAAAGGTTAGCAAAATTCCTTGAGGCAATCCCATTGTAGGCCCCTAAACTATGAGCTAAGTTCAGAGACAAAGAACCATGACTTAAAAAAATTACGGGACAAATACAGTTACAGAATAGAATCAATTACTTATAAACAGGATCAGTAAGAAAATTATACAGGATTGATCTTAATCTTTCTTTGTCAAGTTCGGTTGATTGTACCTCCACAATCTCTCTTGTATTCTCTCTTTCTCTCCATTTATTCAGGTCCTAATTTGTTCCTTTGATTCCAGTCTCTCCTTTCTCCTATCCACCTTTCATTGTGTTGCAGTAATACTTGTCCTAAGGCACTGGTCTGGCCATGTTACTCCTGCTCAAAAGCCCTCAGTGTTTCTCCCCTATCTCCTCTAAAGATAGTTTGACATTTAAAGTAACATACAATGTAGTTCCTACTTGCTTTTCCAGGCTTCACAGTACTTCTCTTCACATATTCTACATTTTAGTCAAACTAGATTGCTAGCTGTTTTGACATTCCTTACCCCACTTCCCTGCATTCCTCCACATTGTCGTCCATAGCTAGAGTATACTGTCTACTCATCTTACCTCTTTGCATCCTGATTTTCCTTTAAGTTATCATTTTCTCTGTGATGCCTTTCCTGATTTGCCCAGTTACTAAGACTTTCTCATTTTTATTCCCACAGGAGAATCTAAACTCCTTTAGGGGCAGATATGATTTTGCTTTTATTTTGTATCACTAGTATCTAACAATATGTGTGGCAGATAAAAAATGCTTAATAGGATTACAGATTTAGAACTGGAAGAAACCTTAGAGGCTATCTATTCTGACTCCCAGATGACAATAACAACAACAACAACAACAACAGCTAGCATTTATATAGTGCTTTAATGTTTGCTAAGTGTTTTGTGTGTTTATATATGTGTGTGTGTGTATATATATGTGTGTATATATATATATATATATGTATATATATATACATATATGTATATATATATATATATATATACACACACACACACACACACACACATATATAATATATATATATACACATATAAACTAAGGAAGGAGACTATGTGATTTGCCCAAAATCAGGAATTGAATCAGGCTCCTGGGACTCTGAGCCCAGATTTCTTTCCACTATATTAAGCTTAAAATGAATCTTTGCGAAAAAACAGGCAGAGACCTTGTGATTATACATGCTGCCTCTGGTACATCTTTTCTATCTGTGAATGGTGCCCTTTTACCTCTCCTTAGGTGTAATTTGAAGTGGTTCAGAATTTGTTAGATTCGCTCGAAAACTACAAAATGACTTTTTCTGTTTCAAGGGATAATCCCCTTAGAGTAAGACTGAAAGTGCTTTAGGGTGAAAAAGAATAACAAACCCAACACCTCTAGGTACAAACTGAGCTTTGTAAAGAATCCAAAACAATGTGCATGTAAGCAATGAAATTTGTGATGATTACTTGACTTGTTGTTCAGTCATATCCAACTCTTCATGACCACATTTGAGGTTTTCTTGGCAAAGGTACTGGATTGGTTTGCCATTTCCTTCTCCAGATCATTTTACAGATGAGGAAACTGAAGAAAACAGGGTTAAGTGACTTGCTCAGGGTCACACTGCTAGGAACTGTCTCAGACCAGATTTGAACTCAGAAAGAGTCTTCCTGATTCCAGGCCTGGTGCTGTCTCCACTGTACCACCTAGCTGCCCAATTGTTTGACTTCTGAAATTAAGAGGGATTTATTTCTATGGTGTTGGACTTATTTGGTTGTAGTCAGTCAGTCCACAAACATTTGTGCCAGTCACTGTGCTAAGGACTGGGATTACAAATACAGTAGCATATATAAACACAGTTCTGCCCTCAAGGAAATGACATTCCTATGGGGCAAGATAACACATAAAAGGAAGCAGAAAAGGGGTGATGAGAGGAAGATATGAAGGGAATGGCATAATACAGAAAGAGAGGAATGAAACATGGCTGGCTGGATATTCTCCTTAAATGGAGGTTCTGGAAGGAGTGATCAAATCAGAGGGAGAGGCCACAGCGCATCCAATGTTCCAGAACTTCCAAAGGACAGCTGGCAATATTGGCACATCTATATTCAGGAACAGTAGACATATAAAAGAATAATAATTATGTTTTCTCTTGATTCTTCTTCTTTTACAGTTTCGTGGACCATGCTTTCCGCACATCCCAACTGACACCAGGCCTGGGCCAGATTGTGTTCCATGATCAGTCTGCATCTTCTCACCTGCCGCAGATCAACAGAAGATGGAAGACTCCAACAGGGATAGGACATCCTTAGTGAAAGGTGCTAAGGACATTGCCAAGGAGGTGAAGAAACAAACTGTGAAAAAGGTGAATCAAGCAGTAGATCGGGCCCAGGATGGCTACACACAGAGGTCATACAGCCGCTTCCAAGATGAAGAAGATGATGATGATTATTACCCAGCAGGAGAAACCTATGATGGGGAAGCCAATGATGATGAAGGGTCAAGTGAAGCAACAGAAGGCCATGATGAAGATGATGAAATTTATGAAGGCGAATATCAGGGCATTCCCAACTTAAACCAAGGGAAAGACGGCATCGTATCTATAGGGCAGCCCAAAGGTGAGGAGTACAAGGACCGGACTGAATTGGAATCTGAAAGAAAAGCTGATGAGGAAGAATTAGCCCAGCAGTATGAGCTAATCATTCAAGAATGTGGCCATGGACGTTTTCAGTGGGCCCTTTTCTTTGTCCTGGGGATGGCACTCATGGCAGATGGCGTGGAAGTATTTGTGGTGGGCTTTGTACTGCCAAGTGCTGAGACAGACATGTGCATACCAAATTCTGGATCTGGATGGCTAGGTGAGACAAGGCTATATTTAAATTTGTTTTGGTAACTAACCATGGTTATTAATCTAGTGATTAATTCTTTTAATTAAATGTATGTGTATGCACACACAGATATATAGATAGATAGATAGATATGTATATATCTATATCTCTCTCTATAATATATATATATATACATATATACATATATATACACACACATATATATACACACACACACACACACACACATATATATATATATATATATATGGAGTGTGTATTTAGAGTGGGGCAGATTTTAAGTGGGATCCAGGCACTTAAAAAAAATTTTGATAACTACCTTTCAATATGATCAGTTTCCTTTGTGATCTCAGAGGGTTTTTTTTAAACCATTTAAAAACATTATTAAAAACATTATTCTGAGAAGTGATCTATAGGCAGAGGTATGCTAATAAATGTTTAACAACCAGTTTTCTGCCCCCAAAAATGTACACAAGACTCACTTTTATATTTAATTTGCATTATTAACATTTTCTCCATCACTTTCTTAAGTCTAAACAATTAACAAAACCATAAAGCAAGCCTTGATTTATAGTGTTTGCCTACACTGAAAATTAACAATCATCTTTGAGTTGTAAGAGCTGTCTTGAGCATACCACTGTAATAGGCTTCACTCTACTGAAGAAAGGGTCTGTGAAATAAAAAAAAAGTTAAGAACCTCGGATTTAGAGCAATATATTTTATATATATATATTATTATAATACTTGGATTTTTTTTCCTTCACCATTAGAAGGCATAATTACTACATGAAAATAACATGGTAGCAAATTGGTTTTTTTCCTTCAGAAATGCGATAATTACAAAGCAGTTGAATCAAACCTGATTTTCAAATGCTGTATTTAATTTGCATATTATAATAAGCAAATGGTTAAATATCTCTGGGACTCTGCTTCTTTGGGCATTGACCATATGAATATATGGGTTTCCCCCCCCCCCCATAGTCTCTTATTTCTTTAGTTTAAAAAAAATTCTCTTAAAGATTTCACTTTTGTTTCTAAGTAGGTATTATAGGGCATTCCTTACTTAGGCCAGTCTGGGAATTCAGGTTCAACATTTGAATAAAATGAGACATTTGTGGGTTATCTAACAATTAGCAAAAGGAGATTTACTTAATCATGTCCTAGAAAGGATAGTTAGTGAACAGTAACAGTAACAGATAGTTAGTTATTAGGAGCCTATCACAGGCCAGGCACTGTGCTAAGTATTGGGGATAGAAAGAAAGGTAAGGTAAAAGCTCCTGCTCTTAAGACTCTCACAATCTAATGAGGGAGCCAACATGCAAACTACAATGTACAAACAAGCTGGAAGAATTGAAATAATTCAGGAGAGAGAAGACAGGGTTTGGGAAAGACTTCATGTAGAAGGAAAGAATTTAGCTGGGCCTTGAAGGAAACCCAAGAAGCTAGGAGGCAGAGATAAGGAGGAGGAGCATTCCAGGCATGGGGGACAGCCAGAAAAAATGCCTAGATCTGGGAGATTTGGCTTCTTGCAAGAAGGGCATTGTCACTGGATCGTAGAGTACAGGGAAGAGTAGAAGGTGTAAGGTGTAAGAGGCCTGGAAAGGTTGGGTAGGGGAGAGGTTATGAAGGGCTTTGAATGCTAAACAGAGGATTTTACATTTCATCCTGGAGGTAATAGAGTTTATCAAGTAGCAGGGGTGACATGATAAGACTTGCAGTTTAGGAAGATCACTTTGATAGCTGAATGGAAGGTGTTCTGGAGTGGGGAGATAACTTGTGCCTGGGAGACCCACCAGCAGTTTATTGCAATAGTCCAGGCATGGGGTGATGAGAGCCTACACCAAGGTGATGGTAGTGTTAGAAGAGAGAAGGGAGAAGTATATGAGAGATGTTACAAAAATAAAATCAATAGCCTTGGCAACATATTAGGTACTCAGCAAAGAGTACCTGTTCAAATAGAGACGGCCTCCCTCACCTCCCTATAGAAATTAGTCTGGTCAGCAGGGAAGGGGTGACTCATGCCAAGTCTGAGGGGCACTGACTTCTCTTGGGCTGGTCACTTTTATACCCTTCATCAACTAGGAAGCAGAATCAATGGCTCAAGCACCCCTGGACAAATTAAGTCTTGAGGACAGTTTTAATACTTTTTAAGGAAAAACAAGCCTACCTTGCATATGGTACGATCCTTGGAAGAGCTATCCCAGCTCACATGGCCTAAGAAATATTGTTCCTATCACAACAGAATAATCTATATTCTCTCTAGTGATTTTTCATATTCACTTCAATCCTTGTTAGAGTTTTGGTTTATCCTAACTAGGCCTGACCCTTTTCCTATCAGGTCAGCAGTGACTGGTAGAATCACAAGGTGGAGACACACAGTGCCAGAGACACTGTCAACCAGAATGTATCTTTTTCTGGCTTGAATATAAATAATACATTTGTGCAAGCCCTGGAATGTCTTTATGCCAAACTGGTGACTTTGGTGGCCCAGTGTAACAGCCTTTCTCTGAATACCTTGTGATAAGACTTCATAGCCTCTGACTTCAAATAAGTCTATGGAACAGTGTGCAGTTTCATTTCACAGAGGCAGACTGAGATCAGAACCTCAAGGGGGTGAGGATATGTAAGTGCCTGTCTCCACATGTCCTTTTTGTATGAATGTTGCAGGGGTACTTTTTATGTAATTAGTAAAGTCAGTCATAAGCTTAGAAATCAGTATAACAGTGTGTCTGCCCCTTAAATCTTAGACTGGATGGATGGTGCTTAATTTTGGACAAGTGTATATTTAAAATATATGAGATATTATGACATAACAGATAGAGAGATGAACCATTTGCAGAATCAGGAAGGCTTGGATTCCAGTCCGTATTGGATATGTGACTCTAGACAAGTCACTCAAATTCTCATTGCACTGGACAGCAGGTCAAAATAGAAGTTGCAAAGTAGGTATGAGGCTGTGTCAGAGGAGTTGAAATAGGAACTTAGCCTCACCAAGAGTTCTGTATAGCAATGAAGTATGTGTGTATGTATACACATACATACATACACTATATTTAGCTATAACTGTATGAATACGTATGTGCATATGTAGACATACACTCACACAAAAACATATACAGGTATATTTGTATGTGTATGTAAATTTATATGTATATATATATAGAGAGAGAGACAGAGACAGAGACAATATATATACATATATACACACACTATATATGTGTAAAAATGTAGTGCATATATGTGTGTGTATGTATATAGTATGTGTGTGTGCATGAAATAACTGTAACAGTTGCGTATGTTAGATATCAGTGCCATAAACGCAAAGTGTGTGTTTTTAGTTGGGCAAGGTGGTGCATGTTTGCAATCCCTGCTACTTGAGAGGCTAAGGCTGATTGATTGAGCTCAGGAGTCCTTAGCAGTATGCTAAGCTGATTGGGTGCCTGTACTGGCCCAGTACCAATATGGTGAGCCCCTGAGATCAGTGGACCACCATTCTGACTAAAGAGGGGCAAATTGGTCAAGGTCAGAAATAGAGCAGGTCAAAGCAGTAGAATTGAGTCCATGAGAGCTTGCTACATCATCGGTCTCGACAAGATAGGACTACCCAATCTCTATAAAAAATGTATTTTCAGCAATGTTCTTAAAGGTCATTAAGCACATGTATGGAAGATGTTAACCTTGTATATAAGCAATGTATTTATGGTTCTTGCATGTTATGCTTTATTACTGGCGTTTGTGTGTATATAGACATACACACAAATTTTGTATTAGGAAAGTTTACTGACCCATCTGAAGAATGTATAGCATGGTGAGTCTTTGGCCGGGGGAGGGGGACTTTGATGATATTTTCTCATACAGGGCAATAACCCTTTGCACCTTCTAAAGTATGGGTTTCACTGATGGGGGCTGCCCCTAAGATTAATTGGTTGGCTCACACTGTTGGGGGACAGACTGTTGAGAAGAACTACTCCTTTGTGCTGTCTTGTAAAGGGAGACGACAAGCTCTTTTTCCTTTTGTTCTTTCACCTTTTGGCACTCAAGATCAGATTGGAGTCCTAGGAAGTTCACCTCCAGAAGCCTTTAATGACTGTTTGGAACAAAGCATATAGGAGCCACATGTCTTAACTACATAGTACACATGGAAAGGGGAACCATGTGGTCATGTGCACTAAAGATGATAGACTTTTGGCCATAGAGAAGGCAATAACCAAGATTGCATCCAAGAGGATGCAGAGTGCCTGGGCCCAAACCTGAAGAGACATTAGCAGTGGTACCTATGCTCTTACCTCTATGGCAGCTATGGAGAAGGGAGCAACATGTTCTGAATGGTGAGAGTTCCAACTCCTACTCCTGGAGGAGTGCTGAGAGTTCTTCCTCAGGGCATTGCTCTCTAACAATCCCATATTTAAGAGTTCCAGAAAACCTGCCTTCTATCAAACAAGGGGGAGCCAGTTTATGACTAGAGTCTGATCCTGGAATTTAGCCTTCTAGCAAAAGAAGTTCATAGAATCATTACTATAGAGATGGATGAAACCTTAAGAGTCATCTAGTCCAGTCACCTCCTTTTACAAATGAGAAAATAGAGGCCCAGAGAAGTAATATGTCTTCAGATCACACCAGCAGGCAAAATTCAGACTCATGATCTGACTCCAAATTCAGTGCTCTTAACCCTACCGAGCCTGAGTATCACTGTACACACACACACACATAAATATTATCTACAGCAATAAATACACACAAACTCATACAAACACATACATCGAATACATATACATATTACTTGATGAAATACATATGTATATTATATGAGTTTGCGTATATTTAGTACTACAGAAAATATTTGTGTGTATATAGTACTATAGATATGTTAACATCTAGCTCTCTGAAAAACCAAAGCATGCCTAACACATTTTAAAGTTTAAGCTTCATTATTAATATTTTCTCATTAACTTTCTTAAGTCTAGACAATCAACAGAGCAATAAATTGAACCCTAATTTTTGTACATATG